AATTCGTACCGTCCAATAAGGAACTTTGTTCCAAAAATCAGCATAAAAGCATACCTAACAAAAGATCAAAGTGCAGTATTCATCCTCGTCATCAAGATTCCATACATAAAAATACTCATTTGCGACTTGCGTAAATCTAGCTTTAGATGAGAATGTTGGAACCAAAAAAGCGGTAAATTACACTATCACTAATCGAAAGCAATACTTACAAGTGTTCCTGCTACAGTAATCGCATACAACACCTACTCACAGAATTAGATAATATTAAATTGATTGAAATGATAAATTTCACATAATTGAATAATGTAGATTATGCAATCGTGATATCATACTAGGAGCGCCGCTGACGGACGTGCTCAGTAATTATTAATTAGCTTTTACTGCCCCGTTAGCCTAGTGGTCTTAAACGCGATTGCTGGTCCCGGGTTCGAATCCTGGGTGGGGCCAAAATTAGTTATTATTTTCTGTCAAGATATTCTCAGTACCTGACAACCAAGAGTCAGGATTTCGGCGGTGTTTCATTCACTCCCGTGCCTCGGAAAGCCCGTTAAGCCGTTGCTCCTGCGTTTGATATCTCTCCGGTCGTGTCGAATTACCGTCCTTGACTATGAGAGTGAGAGAATAGAGAGTGCACCTGTGCTTGCACAATATTTTGGCACTATAATCCTGCCTGTTTACAGAGTGACCGAAATTATAATCTAATTCTAGGACATTATTAATATTATTAACCAGCTTGGTCGAATGGCATGAACTCTAAGCTGCTGCTGTAGATTGACCGTGTAGTGGCGATGTAGTAAAATCCATTGCCCCATATCACGCGTGGTGCCGAGAGGCGACAGAGGTAAACCAGGAGATAAGCACCAGCGTCTTTTATTATTTTAACTACAACAAAAATTTTACGCGAACAAATTTCATCGAAATAATTATAAGCATTAAGAATGTTAGTCAAAACTACTTTTGACTTATATCTACTTTTCTACCGACCTCAAAAAGGAGACGGTACTCAATTAGACTGTATGTTTTTTTTATATGTGTTACCTCATAACTTTTTACTGGGTGAACTGATTTCAATGATTCTTTTTTTATTTGAAAGCTGGTGCTTCACATGAGGTCTCATATAAATTTGATCATGGTCTGACTAATAGCTTTTGAGTTTTTATTAGTAGTTTATATTAAAGTCCGTTGTACAAAATTTTTAATTTTAAATTATTGAATATTTAAAAAAAATGCAATTCTTTCAATATTATATTTTATATCATTATAATATACGCGGCTTTAGGGTGGCCCAAAGGCCACCCCATCCGCACCTTAAACCTGCTGTCACCCACTCAGTATTTTTTTTCGCTCAATTTAGTATTTAATTCGGACACTTGAAATTTTAATTGCTAGCTTAAAATAACTGGTAGCTCTATTTACGTATTTTTAGTCATTCATAATTATCGCCCGTTAAGTAAATTTTTAACACCGCTCGATTTAGTATTAAAGTATCTCATTAACAGTCATCCATATGTTATTTATTCGCCCGGTTAATAATTACGCATATATGCAATATTAATATACATATTTTTACATGGTAGAGCCACGCTGCAGCTATATTATGGTTGTATTACGAATGGCTCGGCGTGATCGAGGAAGAACCACGTTCTCACAGAATAACAGCGTAAAATAGCAGCTTAATGCTGCTAGGTTTTGTATAATGAGTGTAGACACCCGAAGACTCTTTTTACTGGAAACAAGGCATTCCATCTCAGTACCCAGGTTTAACAACGCATCTGCAATTTAATTCTTAATCGAGAATAAATATAGATGCCTGAGTCTATGGGCCACAGCATCCACTTAACATCAGGTGGTCTGTGTGCTTGTTTATCACCCTTATTCTATAAAAAATATCTCTGGGACGGATATAAAGTGTAATTTTACTTGTTTTTACTTAATTTATTTATGTTATAACTAACAATCCGCCTAGGCTACGCATGGATAATTTCTAGATCGCGAAAACAGCACCACTTTCAGTGTCCAATTGTGAATCTAAACTATTCTGGGACCAATTCAAAAACTTTAAAAAATAAAATAAATTTAGCGAGACTAAAGGACAGAAATTGATATTTATATATTATTATATAGAGAATGTATGTCAAGGTACAAATGCACCTAAGTAATTTATTAAAATGCACCTAAATTTGAAACGTGTATGTAGTCTATGGATACAGGTGACACTTGTACCTTTTAGTGGGAAACTATTGTTGCGCGCCACTATTAAAGTCTTGTACATGGCAACACTAGTTAGACTAGCGCCCTCTAGTGTCGAGTAAAAGAAAGTGTTGCGCGCCACTATTAATGTCTTGTACATGGCAACACTAGTTACACTAGCGCCCTATAGTGTCGAGTAGCAGAACTAGGATAGTCGAGATCCTTCCAGAAATTTCGGGACCGATATGTACTCGAACATTCTAGATGTCGCTACAGTAGAAGGTTCTGGAAACTATCTGAGGCCCTATATAAGGCCGGTATAGACCACGACCGGAGCAGTATTGAATTGGCGATACAAGAGAATACTTCGAAGCGAAACAACTGCGAACTTAATTGATCAGTAGAATAATTGTGTTTTATTATTAGTGTGTTTTAAGGTGTAATTAGTATCCGTAATTAAAGTGTCAAATTTGGTAATTCAATCGGCAGTTTTTAATTGTCTCGAACCTCAAGTTCGTAACACTATGTTTAACAGTGGATTTGTGATGGGATGCAATGATGATGATGATGATGATGATTTAAAATAGGAGTGCGATTATCCATTCATGCATTACAGCCTTTCAAAAGTCCACTACTGAAAATAGGCCTATCCGATAATTTGACCCAAATGGCTTTTGCCACAGACGCCACGCTTGGCAAGCAGGTTAGCGGCAGCAATTTTTATTGTTTTCAGCTGCTATCAGGAAAACGCTGCTGCCCATATCCTGTTTTTATTTGTCTGTCGCTTCTTACGACACCCACGGGTTGATATGGGAAGTGCATATTTTTAAACTATACGGTAGTAAGTTTGTGCTAATAGTTATTGTCAGGTACATGTTTGGACGGCTCGGTAGCGCCAGTAGCAGTGGCTAAGCATTTCGCTCCAGCGCTTTTGGAGTCGCGGGTTCGAAACCCGCGCGGAACAAATGTATATATGGGCCTACAAATAATTGTTCCGGGTCTAAATGTTTGTCAATATACAACGTAAAAAGTCCGCCTGATTAAGGAGAAATAGCGTGCCTAGCGTGGTGGTTAGGTTTTAAATAATATAGTATTAATGAAATAATTTGTTGTACGTGGTAGAACCATGCTGCAGCTATATTAATAGTATAGTTGTAACACGAATGGGTCGGCTCGACCGGGGAAAGACCACGCTCTCACAGAATACCAGCGTAAAATAGCAGCATAACACTGCTGTGTTTCGTGTGGTGAGTGTTGAGAACCGGAGACCCTTTCTACTGGCAAAGAGGCATTCCATATTAGTCCTCACGGGTGACAATGCATCTGCATCTTGAGTCTTTATTGAGGATAAATGTAGATGTCTATAGGTTAAGTAAGTTAAGTAGTAAGCTTAAAGAATAAAAGAAGCCACGACATAGATGAACTTTCACCTCATTTAATCAAAGAATTTGCAGACGAATTAACCATACCGTTGACAATATTAATAAATCAATCCTTTAACGAAGGCACCTTTCCACTACAACTAAAAAATACAATTATAAAACCGGTTCATAAAAAAAAATAAAAAAACCGATCCAAGTAATTATCGCCCTATTGCCCTTTTGCCGACTGTATCAAAAATTTTTGAGAAGGCCATTTGTAACCGTGTTACTATATTTTGTGAAAAATACCAGATATTTGATGATTGCCAGAACGGCTTTCGAAAACACCGATCCACAGTTTTAGCAGTGTATAAATACTCGTATATTAATGAAGTTGTAAAAATTTTAGATAGTAAACAATACGGTGTAGGTATCCTCTTAGACATGACGAAGGCATATGATACAACATAATATACTATTAAATAAATTATACGAGTTAGGTATTCGTGGCCCCGCTCATAAATGGTTTGCTTCGTACTTGAAGGATAGGCAGCAATTCGTTGAGATCGAACACTTTGATACCACTATCAAAAATATTTCATACGTGCGCTCCGATTGCAAGGTAATAAATGCATCAATACCTCAAGGAAGTGTCGTTGGATGTCTTTTATTTTTGATTTACATCAATGACCTTCCTAAAGCTATAGAAGAAACGTCTGTCTTGTTTGCCGTTGATATATCGCTATTAACTTCATGCCAAAACGATACTGATATTTATGAAAAACTTTATTTACTTATTACCAAAACTTCAGACTGGTTGAATGATCATAATCTAAAAATAATTTTTTCTAAAACTAAAATATTAACTTTTCCATTGGCCATAGACATCTGCATGTCTTTTCAACGGAGAATCAAAATACGGACGCATCGTCACCCTTGAAGACTGAGATAGAATGTCGTTTCTAGTACGGATCGGATCTCCGGTTCTCTACCCTCACCATACGAAACACATCAGCATTAACCTGCTATTTTACGATGGTATTCTGTGAGAGCGTGGTAGTACCCCGGTCGAGCCGACACATTCGTTCTACAACCATAATATAGCTGCAGCCTATGGCTGCAGCATAGCTTTTGTAATATGTATATAAAATTTCCCCATGATACCGGAGATAATCCTAGCGTGGCGGTTATAATTAAAAAATATGTACAAATTTATTAAACAAGGGTTTTTACACAGAAAGTTCTAACACAATTTTATATCTAACATATTATTATTGTTGTAACGAAAAAGATAACTCCAGCAGACTAACACATCGTCAGCTCTCATGGTCAATAACCAGATATGATAACGAACTTCGTGTTGTAAACAAACTGATATGCACGATTATTAAAATCAAATTATAGGGTTCTTTTAAAAGGGCGTGAATAATATAAAAAAGGTGTACATACCTCTGCCGGCTATGTCTAGGTAACTTTCCCTGCGACGGCTCCTCGAATCCATTCTAACTTATTTATACACTTAACTATAAAAAAAAAACGATCATGAACAACGTAAAGTTGATACAATTTTCACAACTAAACAACGATAGTGCTGCCACATGCTGACAAACGTCGAGAACTAAATTGCTATTTAACTGTTATCTAAAAATACCTAAGTAAGGTAATTACTCGCGAGAACCGTTCAATGATTTAGTGTTACGACTAGCTTTTACCCGCGACTTTGTCCGCGTGCAACTCAAGCTGACAAACGTCAAGAACTAAATTGCTATTTAATGTATAATCTAAAAGTACCTAAGTAAGATAATTACTCGCGAGAACCGCTCAATGATTTAGTGTTACGGCTAGCTTTTACCCGCGACTTTGTCCGCGTGCAACTCAAGCAGAGAAGGTTCATAATAAATAATATAGGCAAATGGTGAAGAAAAATTAATTGAAAAAAAATCTCAATCATTCTGTCCTTTTTATGTTTTAAACTCAAAATGCGTGGTAATGGATTATTTTAACTAATTTTACTGCACACGCACACATTTATAAGGGTCGATCGGTAGGCAAAAACGTTTTTGCCCATAAATCACATTCAATTTGGGATAATTTCACATAAAAGTAGAAACCTTATTTACTCGAATTTTCAAAAACTGCAATAACGGTACTTCATTATTTATATATTTCAATTTTAGTTCAAAATTTGACTACTCTTTGAAAAATACACCTGTATACAGTTTAGCTCCTTTAAGCGTTAAAATCTACCACCGGTACCAGAACCGAGATGTCTACAAAGAATAACCAGTAAGAAACTTTGTTTCATTGTTAAAATTTCTTCTTGGCTTATTATTTTTAACCTCCGACGCAAACACCCCTCGTGTTATGTTGTATCAGCGTGGTATTCCGTTGTATCAGCCAGATACGACACCATATTACACATGTGACAATACACAACTAAAAACTATCAGTTTGATTTTAGGGTAACCAAATATAAATTGAGTATCTAGTACTAACTAAATTATACTTTTAATAAATAGTAACTCTGCTAAATTCTAAAAAGAAAAAAAAACTAAAAGAATTTCCACATTACAGCTTTTGAATTTATTTTATTCTTTTTAGTTATTTGAAGTCTGTTTGTCTTTACACTTTATAAGTTTTGATGCCGAATCGATATTTTTTAACACCATTTTCAAAACGAAACTATGAGTGTTATGGATGAATGACTAGAACTCTTTTATACGGGGTTATTTTTCAAAGAGTAGCCAAATTTTAAACTTAAGTTCAAATACAATAAATAATGATATACTTTATTGCAGTCTTTGAAATTGCGAGTAAATAAGGTTTTTTTCTTTTTTTTTTTAAATTATCCCAAATTAAATATGATTTATGGGCAACAACTACGAGAACGCGGGCTCCTGTGTGTGCGATTCAATCACAAAGTTTTTGCCGACCGATTGACCTACGGAATAAAAAAACAAGAGGAAGCCCAAAGTGAGCGGAGCAGGCGAGTCAAAATTAGTGACAGCAGAGCGTAATTGACTGTCAGTCGAAGGCTCAAATTGTTGCGAGCTGACGGTGATATGCGAAAATATACAGTTTTGGGCAATATTAGAGTGTAAAAAAACGAAGGTAAAAAGAAAAATATTTTGAATGGAGGTGTTTCGTACCAAAGGCACGTGTCCTTTTTTCGTTTTTTGGATAGAAACTTGACTAAACATGGACAAATTATCAAATTTCCTTTATTACAAGTAATATTCAACCTTATTTCGTTAGACTAAGGTTTATCTGTAAATACATTTTGAATAAAATATTTTTTTTTATAGGAGAGGGGGCAAACGAGCATGCGGCTCACCTGATGGTAAGTGACTACCGCCGCCCATGAACAACTGCAACACCAGGGGAATCGCAGATGCATTGCCGGTGTGGTAATCGATTCCACAAGGAGGTCGTGCGAGGAAGAAAACATCTTCTAAATCGCACAGTGGTGGACCGCCAATCATCCAGATGGTGTGGATGGTATCGGGAGTTCTGCCGCGATGTGCGTTCGTGAAATTTGGCGGCTGGGATTAATCCGAACAATTCGTCAGAGCACTCCCCATGGTAAATGCGAAAGAAAATGCAAAGGGATGCAACATCTCTTCGCAGTGCCAATGAATCGAGCCGATCGGAAAGGGCTCGGTGGTCGACGATTCGCGCAGCTCTGCGTTGGATGCGGTCAAGTGGAAGGAGCTGGCACTGGGGAGCCCCTGCCACAGTATTCCATGTGAGGCCGAACTTGCGCCTTGTAAAGTTGCAGGCGGTGTGCCGGCATGAAATACTGTCCCGCTCTGCTGAGCACGCTAAGCTTTTTAGAGGCCAATTTGGCCTTCCCTACCAAGTGACCACGAAACTGCACGTCACTCGATATGTCGACTCCGAGGATACCAATACTGGCTGAGGCAAGAAGGGGAGTGCCTTGAAACTGAGGAGATACGACAAAGGGGTTCTTTGTAGCGGTAAACGCACAAACTTGTGTCTTCTGAGGATTAAACTGGACTAGATTTAGTCGCCCCCAATCCGAGACTTTGCTCAGCAAAGACTCGACTTCAGACACAAGTTTGTTCCGGTACTCAGCGACGTTTTCCCGAGAAATATTGGCACGGCCGGTGTATAGAGCATCACCAGTGCTGTCATCCGCATAGCAATGAATGTTACCAGTTAGCAACATATCATTGATATGCAGAAGAAACAGCGTTGGTGATAGCACACAGCCTTGTGGAACACCAGCGTTAATAGGCTTGTAGTCAGAGCATGCACCGTCTACAACGACCTTGATGCTCCGATCTGCAAGGAAGCTGGTGATCCAATTGCACAATTTCTCGGGAAGCCCATAGGAAGGGAGCTTCGAAAGAAGCGCTTTGTGCCAAACCCGATCGAAGGCCTTCGCAATGTCCAGACTAACGGCCAACGCCTCCCCCTTGGACTCTACTGCCTCCGCCCATCTATGGGTCAGGTAGACCAGAAGATCACCAGCTGATCGACCCCGACGAAAACCGTATTGGCGGTCACTAATCAGCTGATGATCCTCAAGGTACCGGATGAGCTGGCAGTTAATAATGGATTCCATTATTTTGGAGAACAAGGAGGTGATCGCGATAGGCCTATAGTTGGATGGGTCTGAGCGGTCGCCTTTTTTAGGGATCGGGTGGACAAAAGCTGTCTTCCATGAATTCGGGGCTACGCCTTGGGAGTAGGAGTACCGGAAAAGACGCGTTAGGACAGGTGCCAACTCCGGAGCACACATCCTCCGCATAATTGGGGGGATTCCGTCAGGCCCACTCGACTTCTGGATGTCCAGGGAGAGCAGTGCTTTGCGAACCGAGCGCTGTGAGAACAGCACATCCGGCATGGAGCACTCACACCGCGGGATGGTCGGCGGTGTTTTCCCCCCGTCATCAAGAGTCGAGTTGGACGCAAAAAGGGAGCCTAAAATGATCTGTTTATGACTTTGCCTTGGCATATGGTCTGACACAACTGGTTACTTCGCCTACGCGGATTCCAGATGTGGAGGATCATACATCTTCCCTGTTGGACCTTCTGCTGACCTCTCATCCGGACGGATATCTGGTTTCCGTCGATGCCCCTCTCGGCTCTTCGGACCATTGTCTGATCCGGAGTGTGGTGCCACTCACGCTCCCTTCGCGGTTGCGTTCTGCAGGTTGCCGCCGTGTTTGGCATTACAGGTCGGCGGATTGGGACGGAATGCGGTCCTTCTTTGCATCCTACCCATGGGGGCGGGTTTGCTTCTCGCCGGATGATCCCAGCGCTGTTGCTGACTCTGTCACTGATGTGGTGCTACAGGGAATGGAACTATTTATTCCATCATCTGTGGTACCCATCGGAGGCAGATCTCAGCCTTGGTTTGGTCGCTCCTGTAAGACTGCATTACGCAGTAAGCAGGAGTGTTATCAAGCCTGGGCTGCGGCTTCGGCGACTCGGGATGTAAATACCAGCACACTTAAAAAGAAGTATAACTTCGCCTCCAGGTCCTTCAAAAGAGTTATTGCCAAGGCAAAGTCAGAGCACATAGGCAGAATTGGCGAGAAACTAGTTCGCCTTCCTTCGGGAACCCGTGCATTCTGGTCTCTCGCCAAGGCTGTCCAAAGGAATTTCTGTAAGCCATCACTACCATCTCTGCACAGGGAGGATGACTCACTGGCCCATGACGCAAAAGACAAAGCCGACCTTTTAGGCTCCCTTTTTGCGTCCAACTCGACTCTTGATGACGGGGGGAAAACACCGCCGACCATCCCGCGGTGTGAGTGCTCCATGCCGGATGTGCTGTTCTCACAGCGCTCGGTTCGCAAAGCACTGCTCTCCCTGGACATCCAGAAGTCGAGTGGGCCTGACGGAATCCCCCCAATTGTGCTGAGGACGTGTGCTCCGGAGTTGGCACCGGTCCTAACGCGTCTTTTCCGGTACTCCTACTCCCAAGGCGTAGTCCCGAATTCGTGGAAGACAGCTTTTGTCCACCCGATCCCTAAAAAAGGCGACCGCTCAGACCCATCCAACTATAGGCCTATCGCGATCACCTCCTTGTTCTCCAAAATAATGGAATCCATTATTAACTGCCAGCTCATCCGGTACCTTGAGGATCACCAGCTGATTAGTGACCGCCAATACGGTTTTCGTCGGGGTCGATCAGCTGGTGATCTTCTGGTCTACCTGACCCATAGATGGGCGGAGGCAGTAGAGTCCAAGGGGGAGGCGTTGGCCGTTAGTCTGGACATTGCGAAGGCCTTCGATCGGGTTTGGCACAAAGCGCTTCTTTCGAAGCTCCCTTCCTATGGGCTTCCCGAGAAATTGTGCAATTGGATCACCAGCTTCCTTGTAGATCGGAGCATCAAGGTCGTTGTAGACGGTGCATGCTCTGACTACAAGCCTATTAACGCTGGTGTTCCACAAGGCTGTGTGCTATCACCAACGCTGTTTCTTCTGCATATCAATGATATGTTGCTAACTGGTAACATTCATTGCTAT